AGCCTCAGCCTACACCAGAGCATGGGCATGGGCATGCCTGGTGTACTTGGGGAGGTCTCTAGACATGAACCTGAAACCTTCCTATGAGGATCAGCCTTGTAGAGTGTTGTGTTTTACTGCTGTGCCACCATCCAACCACAAACTGGAACACTTTTATAAAGCAATGGTTCCTCTTATCAGTTTTGTACAGCTCATATAGGAAAGGCAGCATAAATGCTTGATTCTTTCCCTGTACTTATCAGTTTTCAAGACAATGAATACATTTCCTATCATTCCCCCAAAGTAATCTAAGCAGGCTTTACTAATAATTATGAATTCACAGCTTTAAAGCATTTGTTGAGTTCGATCAGTTGAATTACTGTTCTTTTTGAAACTCAAATACTCCATCATTGGCCAGTAAAAGCCTCTGCAAACTGACTCCTGGGGCCTTTTAAATGACCCTAGCAATCTTAATAATGCTCTTGCTCTCTGATAGAACGTGGGGTTCCAGGCTCATTTTCTACATTTCTGCCTGAGACCTGTCAAGCCTTGGCTTCTTTAAGTCAGAAATGACATTTTTACATTTTTATTTTTGTACTCACCAGAGAGACAGAGGAGAGTAGAGAGCACCGTCCCCACACCCATGGGGAATGGTCATACCACAATACCCTCTCCTTCCTCTCTCCCTCCTTTCAGGATTTGGGGTACACATACATGTACCTGGAGTGTTTCTCAAGCCACCAGGTCTGGGACTCCAACTGTCTGGTTGGCCAAGTAGGATCCAGCCATCCGCCTTAAACCAAGGCCATGGAGCTGGCCTGAGAAATGACTTTTCAAAATAACATTTCGACATGCCAGGAATGCTTATTACTACTAGGATGGTCACTGTTGACCTCTTCAGTGGACAGAACTACATCTATACATATAATACTTCTGGAGTTGAAGTGGTATTTCTTTTTTCTTTTCTTTTTAAATTTGCTATAGAGTACTTGCACTTGCCAGAGAAGGAGGGAGAGCAAGAAAGTGAGAAAGTACTCCCTATGGAGCATGGTCACACCACACTCACTTCTCCTCCATTCGTCCTTTTGGGATTTTGCATATGCATATATATGTGTCCGTGTATTTTCCAAGCCACCAGGTCTGGGACTCAAACTACACAGTTGACCATGTGGGATCCGTTGTCTTAACCAACACAACACTGGCTGGCCCTTAATGTGGTATTTATTTCTGGGGCCAGCTGGTGGCATGGTAAAGGGCTCTGGATTACCACATGGCTGACTGGTTCAAGTCCTGGATCTGGTGGCTTGCCCTTTCACTCCCCCACACACACACACACTCTGTCCCTCTCTGGTCAAATTAAAATAAATAAATGAATAAAGTTAAATAAAATGATCCTTCAAAAAAAAGTGGTATTTATTTCTAACTTGCCACTATAGAATGTTTTACTTAATAACTACTTTTTTTTTTTTCTTTGCCACTAGACTTAAGCACTCACCAGAAAGAGACAGAAGGAGAAAGAGAAGGAGAGAGAGAAAGCACACTTCAGTTGGGCATTGTCATACCACAATCCCTTCTCCATTTCTCCACCCTGTTGAGAACTTTGGACATGCATGCACATATACCCCTAAATTTTTCGTCACCAGGGCTATAATTCCAACCATGAAGTTGGCCATGTAGGATCTGGCTTCCTTAACCTAGGCCATGGGGCCAAACTGCCACAATTATATTTCATTGTACCTCCTTTCTTCCACATTGAGAATCCCAACTCTTAAAGACAGAATTGATGAAATAAAAATATCTCATAGTTACTCATTGACTATCCCATGTTAACTATACAAATCTCAGGATAACAATATAAATAGTAATCACCAGCATAATTACTGAGACTACTTTAAAACAATTTTGCAAATATTCTTTTTTTTTTTTTTTGAGAGGTTTTTGCTATAGGGTGCATGTGATCACTGGAAAGACAGAGAGAAACAGAGAGATAGAAAGCGAGAAACCACCCCCCAGGGAGGATGGCCACGCTGCAGTCCCTTCTCCTCTATCCTCTTCTTGGGATCTTGGGCACGCACGCACACGCTCCCAGTGTTGAGTTTAAGCCACCGGGTCTGGGACTCGAACTAGGGTCGGCTACATGGGAGTTCAGCGACATAGGGATTACGCCAACTACTGGTCCCAATTTTGCATATATTCTTCATTTTCTTTCATTTTTTAAAATAGACTATTTGGGTCAGTGGGTGCCATGGTGGTTAAGGTGCTGGACATCCACATGGCTGATTGCTATTCAAGTCCTAAACCTGCTGGCTTGAGTTCTTACTTTTCCTCTCTCTCTGTTTCTCTTTGGCCAAATTAAAAGAAAATGATAATAATAAATTAAATATTTCTTAAAAATAAGTAGACTATATCACTGTTGCTCAAACATACAGTCATTACATGTCATATTCTTACCCTTTTATTCCTCATTGAATTTTAGTTCAACAAGTAAATAAATGGTTGATGGTCACCAGCTGTTCTATGTCAAGGTCTCTCTCATAATTAGATTGGGTGCAACTCACTCTATAATAGGTTCCTCAGGAAGAGCTCATGGTAGCACTATTCCCTGAAGTTTTGCACACTGATAACTCTGTGTGCTCTTCATAATTCAAAGTCAGCTTAGTTGGCTATAAAATCCTCAGCTCACATTTCCTTTCCTTGAGTATCAAAAATATATTACTCCATTTTCTTCTTGTAAATTATTGCAGTTTAAGAACATGATGGTAAGCTAACTTTCTTTGCCTTATAAATCACTTGTTCTTTTTGCCTGGACACCCAAATAATTTTTCTTTTCCTTTAATGTTTAAATATTATTACTAAAATATGCTTTGGTGTTGCATGTTTTGCTTCAGTATTGTCAGGTACACGGTGTGTTCTTTCAGTAAGTACTTTCAACTTTTTTTTTTCTTTTAGGTTTTTGCCATAGGGTGCATGCACTTAGCAGAGAGACAGAGAGAGAGACAAAGAGAGGGATAGTGAGAAATCATCCCCAAGGGGGATGGTCATGCCTCAATCGCCTGCCCTCCATTCTGTTCTCAGAATTTGGGGAACACACACATGCACCCAGTGTGATTTTCAAGCCTCTGGGTCTGGAACTCAAACTGTGGTCGGCCATGCGGGAGTCCAGTGCCTTAAGCACCATGCCACCTGCTGGGCCCTGTTCTTTTTTCTTATAACCTTGAAATGTATTATTATTCATTTTTATATAACATTAGTTTTCCTAAGTGTCTAGGCGGCGGTATGGCGTTAGAAGGAAAGTATATCTTCTAACTTCACAAATCTCTCTCTTGTGTTGTTTTCATGTATTGAGTTGTCAGGAAAGTCATGATGCATTTTTGTATAGAAAAATGACTTAATAATATTGAAAAATAGGGGTGCTTGCTTTCTGAGATGTCCTAGCTCTGTTCCCTCTTCACCACTATTGTTCCTATATCCTGCATAATTTTTATTTCATTACTAGCAGTTCCTCCTCAGTGTGCACCGTCCTGGAAGACAGCCTTGTCAGATCTGCCTTGAGACTGACAGGAGTCAGGGAGCTCCAGTTTTTTCAAATTTTACTGGGGTCTCCTTGTACTCACCCACTATTGGCAATTTAGGGTTTTTCCTATTTTTTTGGTCCATCAAGGTGCCCTGCTTTCTCCAAAATGGAGAAATGCAGATTCCACAGTTGTTATCTGTTTATCCTCACCAGTTTGTATTTTGGAATTTATGTAGATACCTTGTTACATGTTAGCTGGAGTTTTCAGCTTTTCTAACTAATTATTTTGTCTATGATTATGTTGGGATTTGGAAACATTTTAAAACTATACCATTGCTGCTACCATCTTCCCAAACTCCACAAAGCAGTCATAATGGGATCATTATCAAAATATCAATTCTAAATATTAGCACGGCAAATTATAAGCTTTAAAAATATAAATTATCATGGCCAATAGGTGGCATGGTGGTTAGGGTGCTGGACTCCCACGTGGCTGACTGTGGTTTGAGTCCCAGACCTGGTGACCTGCTTTCTCACTTAATCTTTCTCTCTGTTGAGCACATGTGCCCTGCAACAAATTTAAAATAGAACAATAATAAGTAAAATTAAAAATAAATAATTCTTGGGACCAGCAGATAGTATAATGGTTACATTGCTAGATTCCCACATAGTTGACCATGGTTTGAGTCCTGGACCCAGCGGCTTAAAACTCACACTGGGTGTGTGTGCATGTGTGCCCAAGATCCCAAGAGGAGAATGGAAGAAAAAGGAAGAGAAGGGATTGCGGCATGGTCATCCATCCTGGAGGATGATTTCTCACTTTCTTTTTCTCTGTCTTTCCGGCGAGCCCAAGTGCCCTATAGCAAAAATATCTCAAAAAAATTTTTTAATTAAATAAATCTTTAAAAATACATATATGCACATACATACGTGTGTGTGTGTATGTGTGTGTATGTGTGTGTATATACCCTCTGATGCTACAATCCTAACTCTCAGATTTAACCTGAAGAAATAATATAATTAGGCAAGTGAAAAAGTATGTATACAAAGTTCTAGATTAGACTAGGGTGCCTTCTCTTCCTCACCTTTTTTTTTTCCAAGCTGCCAGGCCCGGGCCTCAAACCCTGCAGTTGGCCATGTAGGATTCAGCTGCCTTAACCACCATGCCACTGGATGCTCCCCTCACTTTTTTTATTTTTAAATAATTATTTTATTTAACTTTTAAAAATTTTTATTTGTAATTATTTATTTTAAAAATTTGACTAGAGAGGGACAGAGTGAAAGAGATAGAGGGAAAGTGAAGAAGGATCCAGGACTTGAACCGCAGTCAGCCATGTGGGAGTCCAGTGCCCTTAACCGCCACGCCACCTGCTGGCCCCACCCTCCCCTCACTTTTAACTCTCACTTTTACTCCCAACACTGTCTTATTTGCAGTTGGTAAACATCCAGTCTTGTTAAGTTTGAATAATCAACTAATGTATAACTGATAAAATTTAAAGGCATATACCTTCAAATGTTGGTCCATAAATGGACTCTCCATCATCTCCTTTTCCAGCTACTATATCTAAAAAAAATAAAAATAAATAAACATTAGGCTTCTGAGACTTAAAAAAAAATAATGAAAGAGAAAAAATGCTTTAAATTATGATTATTTGTATCAATGACTAGGGTCAGTTACTTAATTGTTCCATATCTATGCCATGAAATATTACCACAATAATCTCACTTATATTTTACAAGCACTTTTATTTTCATAATCCCATTTCTTCCTCATAATAACTCTCTTGAGGTGGATTAAATTCTGAGGCAAAACCTCTAAAGTGATGAAATATTAAACTGTAATTGTAGTCACAATTTAAAGTAAGTTTGGTAACATAAATTCTGCTTATTTCACAAATTATTCCCTAGTCTATCTATCTTGGTTTTCAAAAAATAAAAAGATTAAACTGGGAGGATGAAATATCAGGTCGTCGGAAGACTCGTGATGTATTTTTCTGTTTTTCTATCAAAAATGCGTCATGACTTTTCAGACAACCCAATGGTAACAGTAAGTTCTTTTTAGAACATGAGTGAAAATAGGTGCTCCACTGAGAAGAACTACAAGGCCTTCGCCAGTTTTCACATAGCCCATGCCAATGCCCAGCTCTTCGGCATCTGGGCAAAAAGAGCCAAGGAAGCTGCAGAACAGGATATTGAGAAGAAAAAATAAATATATGTTGGGGACTTGGAAAAAAAAAAGGTGCTCTACTCATGAAAAGAATTCATGTTCAAATTTTCATTCCTATAGTTATCCCATAGTGATAGCTCATTTATTTACCCAGTATTTTGGAAATAAATTTCCTTATAATGTAACAAGGTTGTTTTTATTTATCACCAGAGGGCACCTGCACGCACCAGAGAGAGAGCGAGCAAGCACAAGCACACACCGACAATGGGGCCTGGCCATGCTGCAATCCTTTTTCCTTCATTTCTCTCACCATCAGCATTTGGGGCACATGCCTATATGTGCCAGGCATGTATTTCAAGCTGCCAGGGCCAGGATTTAAACTGCAGTTTAAAGCTGAATCCCACATGGGCTTCAGCTTCCTATGCACGCGCAGAGCCCTTAAACCCAGCTATGGAGTTGGTCCACAAGATTTTTTTTTAATGTGTTTATATGATATGCATTTTATGGCTTAGCCAATGCTATAAAAAGGTTCCATGAAACCAGCAGATAATGTAGTGGTTAAGACAGTGGACTCCCACTGGCTGACCATGATTTCAGCCCTGGGCCCAGTGACTTGAGAATCAAGCCAGGAGTGTGTGCCTATATGTCCAAAACCCCTAAAGGAAAATGGAGATCAAGGGATTGTGGTATAGCCATTCTCCCCTGGGGGCAGGGGAGATTTCTCACTTTCCCTCTCTCTTTGTCTCTTTGCCTCTCTCCAGGGGTCACATGGGCCCTATGGCAAAAAAACTAAAAACAAAAAACAGCAACAAACAAAGCCAATTTTAAAGTCAGGTGATTTTCTTTTCTCTTTTTTTTTTTTTTGATAAGATTTTTGGTACAGGGCATGTGTACTCATCAGAGAGATAGAGAGACAGAGAGACAGAAAGCAATAAATCATGCCCCAGGGGGATGGCCATGCTGCAATCCCTTCTCCATTCTCCTTTCAGGATATGCATCCCACATGAGTTTCAAGTCACCAGGTCCAGGCCTTGAACCACGGCTGGCCATGTGGGAATCTATTGACATAACCATTATGCCATTTGCTGGTCCTTCATTTCAATTTACATCTTTTTTTTTTTTTTTTTTGGAGAGGGTTTTGCTAAAGAGCACGGGCGCTTGCCAGAAAGACAGAGACAGAAAGACAGAAAGTGAGAGATCACCCCCCAGGGGGGGTGGCCACGCTGCAGTCCCTTCTCCTCCATTCTCCTCTTGGGATCTTGGGCACACATGCATACGCACCTGGTGTGAGTTTAAACCACCAGGTCCAGGACTCGAACTGCGGTCGACTACATGGGAGTCCAGCGACATAGCCATTATGCTAACTGCTGGTCCCTTGATTTAAATTTTGACCTTAGTTAATTTTTTTATAACCCTGTTTCCTCATTTTTACAACTCATACCAAGTACGGGAAACGGTAACTGCCTGACAGCGTTGAACATTGAAATGATGGTAAAGCACTTAGGCAGTTCATGGCAGTCCGTCATGCTCATTTATTACTGGCTGTTATTGTGCAGTATCACATGTCATTATCATCATCCTGACTGTCACTATCACCATATCCACCATCTTTATGCTCAATATGATGATGTGATGATGATGAAATGTGATAAATTATATCTCCAGAGATCTTTCTGGAAGCAATAGGCCTTGTGGCAGCCACAGGGGAGAATCTAAACAAGTGGTATAACAACTTGTCTTCTTTATGTTCTATAAATGAACAGAATGTACACTTCCTGTCTGTCCATTCATACACTCAACAAATATCTATAAAGCACTTACTATATGCCATGCATTCTTCTAGAACCTAGGATGCAACAATGCACCAAATACAAAACAAAACAAAACAAAACAACTCTACCCTTATGAAATGTGTATTCTTTTTTTTGTTTTTTTAAGAATTATTTTCGGGAACCAGCAGTTAGCGTAATGGCTATGTCGCTGGACTCCCAAGTAGCCGACCGCGGTTCGCGTCCCGGAACTGGTGGCTTAAAACTCACGCCGGGCGCGTGTGCGTGCGTGCCCAAGATCCCGAGAGGAGAATGGAGGAGAAGGGATTGCGGCGTGACCAAACCCCCGGGCGGGGGGGTGATCTCTCGCTTTCTGTCTCTATGTCTCTCTCTGTCTGTCTGGCGAGCGCATGTGCCCTATAGCAGAAACCTCTCAAAAAAAAAAAAAAAATTACTTTCTCCCCTAGGGGTGGGAACAAGCAGCCAAAATGGTGGCCAGCTGCTACTGGTGGTTACTTAAGCTCTGTGAGGCATGGCTAGTCGACGAGACCAAATAGGGACAGGACTTGGGCACCTACCTGTGGCAGCGGGTAGCACAGGCCTTTCCATGGGGAGAAAACACCTAGATTGCAGAGCCTGAGGCCTGTGATCAGATGTACCAGAGCTCAGCACGACTTCATTCAAACTACTACAAACACGAGTACCCTGCCCCAGAGATGCCAGCTTCAGTGGCCTGTCCATGGAAAACTACAAGGTGATCCTGTCCACAGACACATTGGAAGATTTTAAGGAAATGAATAAAGGCACGTGGAAGAAACTGCAGTAGAAGTTTTCCCCAAGGGTCCTGAAGAGAAGCATAAGGCTCAGACCTTATCTGGCCCACAATCTAAGTGTGAAGCTTCAGATGTTGGCATCTGCAATAAAACTGTGATTTTCCCAGGGGGGAGGGAATTATTTTCACTTAACTCCATTTATCTATTCATCCACTTTAATTTGAGCAGAGAGGGACACAGAGAGAGAGAAAATGAGAGAGCAAGGACCGCCAGGTCCGGGACTTGAACCGCGGTCGTCCTTGTGCTCATAACCACCATGTCACCTGCCCACCCCATGGAATTTATATTCTAATAAGGAGAAATAGGCAATATAGAAATAAACGGAATATATATATATATATATTATATATATATACACATATAGTATATATGTATATACATATAGTATATATATACTATATATATATATATATACACACACACACACACAGTATTCAATAGTAGGTGTTATGGTGAGAAAAAAGCTGCTGGTAGGCTAGGGAGGGAAGGGATTGTGGTATAGCAAGACTGTTGGGGGGGTTCTTATATCTCTCTTTCTCCCATGACAGAAAAAAAAAAGGAAATGTTTTCCATGTATTCTATTTTCAAATTCCCACTCTTGGGGAACTCCTCTTTTTTTTGCTATAGGGCACATGCACTCAGTATAAAGAGACAGATAAAGTGAGAAGTCAGCATTCCCTGGGAGATCACCACCTCCTGGGGGATAGTCACGCCACAATTCCTTCATGCATGTATACATGCCAAGCATGTTTTCAAGCCACGGGGTGGACCTTGAACCATGGTTGGCTGTATGGAATCCTGTGCTTCAACCTCTATACCACCTGCTTGTCCTTTAGTATGCTTCTTTTTTTGGGAGAGGTTTTTGTCAGAGAGACAGAGAGACAGAAAGCGAGAAATCACCTCCTCCCCTCCAGGGGCATGGCCATGCTGTAAGCCCTTCTCCATTCTCCTTCAGGGATTTTGGGCACGGATGCATACATACGCAACCAACATGTTTTCTAAGCTGCTGGTCTGGGACTCAGACCATGCAATTGGCCAGGTAAGATCCAGTGCCTTAACCATCATGCCACCTGATGGCCCTAAAATTACATTTTGATTAAAAAAAAGAAAAAGAAGAACTATAAGATGCTCTCCTATATCACTTTTTAATTTGCTCCTGGTAACACAGTTTAGATTTGTTTATTTTAATGATTAGAAACTTCTTTAAAAGAACACAAATATTTTAATTCATCATTTGGCCATATAAAACATCCTATAAATATATCTATTTAATATGAGTGTATCTAATTATATATTTCAGAAAGGTAGATAAACAAAATTTTTGAACATTCTGATTTGATTACAGTCAAATCAAATCTGCAATTATGTCATATTAAAGATTTTTAACTTACCCCCTCCTTGTATCCAACCATTAGGTACTACTCGATGAAAAATTGAATCTTTGTAATGTAACTTTGTGCCATTTGGAGAAACCCCTGCTTTTCCTGTGCATAAGAACTGAAAATTTTTACATGTTTTGGGACATATATCACAGTACAGCTGCAAAATAAAGATGAAAGTGTTCGATGATTAAATAGATAACATTTTGACAGTTATAGGTCCCCTCTCCAACTTACTGAAAAAACAAAAATATCTTACCTCAAAAATCAATCTTCCAATTGGAGAAAAATCAATACAAATGTCCAGGAACACGAAATTGTGCTATTAAAATTAGGGGGGAAAAGATAATGCAGGTCTCAAATCAAAAAAACTAACAATAACAAATAGAATTAAATAAATAATTCTTTAAAAAAAAGGGGGGGGGCAACAGGCGGTGTGGTGGATAAGGGTGTTTGATTCCCACATGGCCAACCATGGTTCAAGTCCTGGACCTGGTGACTTGCTTTCTCGTTTTCCCTTTCTCTCTCTCTCTAGTGGTCAAATAAAAAGAAAACTAACAATAACAAATGGAATTAAATAAATAAATAATTATTTTTTTAAAAAAATGGTAATGCAGGTTAAGGCCTTTTATGAAAGTTATAGAGGGGCTGGCAGGTGGCATAGTGGTTAAGGGCGCTGGACTCCCATGTGGCTGACTGCAGTTTGAGTCCCGGACCTGCAGCCCGCTTACTCACTCTCTCTCTCTCTCTCTCTGTCACTCTAAATAAACAAGTAAATAAATAAAGTTAAATAAAAATAATTTTTTTTAAAAAAGAAAGTTATAGAAATGACTAAAAATATAATAGATAGAATGGGATCAGCAGTTAGCGTAATGGCTATGTTGCTGAACTCCCATGTAG